GGTTAAACTCCAAAGAAGAAAACATCCAACCCCATCCAAAAATGGGGCAATGAAATGAACAGAAACTTTCTCAAAGAAGAAATCCGAATGGCAAAAAAGCACATGAGAAAATGCTCTACATCATTAATCATCAGGGAGATGCAGATCAAAACCACAATGAGATACCATCTCACACCTCAGAAACTGGCCCACATTCAAAAGAACAAAAGCAACCGATGCTGGCGTGGATGTGGCGAGAAAGGGGCACTCCTTCACTGTTGGTGGGAATGTCCACTGGTTCAGCCCTTCTGGAAAACAGTATGGACGATTCTCAAAAAATTAGAAATTGAGCTCCCATTTGACCCAGCAATACCACTCCTGGGAATATATCCCAGAGAGGCAAAAATGTATAGTCGAAGTGACATCTGCACTTGTTTGTTCATTGCAGCACTCTTTACAATAGCCAGAAACTGGAAGAAACCTGAATGCCCAAGAACAGATGACTGGTTAAAGAAACTTTGGTACATCTACACAATGGAGTACTATGTAGCTCTTAGAAAAGATGAAGTCATGAAATTTACATACAAGTGGTACAATATGGAAAGTATCATGCTAAGCGAAATGAGTCAGAAAGAGAGGGATAGACATAGAAAGATTGCATTCATCTGGGGGATATAAAGTAACAAAGTATGAGATTAATACCCAAGAATAGCTGAGATCAGCACCAGGAGGATTACTCCATAACTTAGAGGCCAGCCGGGTATCCTAGAGGAAAGGGCTGTTCAGATAGAGAAGGGAGCACCAAATAAAGGATGTTTGGATGATCCTCCCAGGAGGGGAGATGCATGTCGAAAGTAGACTATGGACTGAACATGTTTGCCACTCAATGCCTCTTTTGCAGACCACAACACCCAAAAGGAGAGAGAGAACACAGGGGATTGCCCTGCCACAGGGACAGGGGGGATGGGGGGATGGGGGTGGGAGGGATATTATCCATGGTGGTGGAAAATGGGCACTGGTGGAGGGATGGGTATCTGATCATTGTATAATTGAAACCAAAGCACAAAAAATTGTAAATCTACAACTTTAAAATAAATAAAATAAAATAAAGGGGAAAAAAAAGAAAAAAAAAAAAGAAAGGAAAAATTAGCCAATTCACCAGGTGGTTCTGGAAGAATAAACAAAATTGACAAGAAAAAAATATCCAAAGATGAATAGCCTAAGATGCCGTGTGGGCAGGATACTCTCAGTAGATTATCGGACTCTCTGAAATATATAAATATATGTAATATTTATATATTTATTTATGGGCTGGAGCGATAGCACAGCAGTAGGGTATTTGCCTTGCACGCAGCCAACATGGCCGACCCGAGTCCGATTCCTCCAACCCTCTCAGAGAGCCCGGCAAGCTACCGAGAGTATCTCGCCTGAATGGCAGAGCCTGGGAAGCTACCTTGTATTTGATGTGCCAAACACAGTAACAACAAAGTGTCCAATGGAGACGTTACTGGGCCCGCTCAAGCAAATCGATGAACAATGGGAGGACAGTGATAAAATATTTATATATTTATATACAAATATATATTTCCTCTATCATTTGTTGCCTACTGTCTGAAACCCATCAAATATGGTGTGGTAATAATGGAAAATGAGTAGGGATGTGACCAGGAATATCTTCACTCGTATGTGAGGCTCGGCCCAAGCATGTGGAAAGCGGCCTGGAGTGTGGTGGCAGTTGGGTAGTGGAGCAAGAATATAGGTTCCAAAAGACCTAGTGATTTCACATTTGCATGTTCCTACCAAAACCCCTTAATAGAAAAGTCAAAATGATATATGCACTCCTATATTCACTGCCGTGCTAAGTACAATACTCAGAAAAACCCCAAATGGACACATAAACGGATAAAGTTGTAGTATAAACATGCACAACAGAACACTACTCAGCTACAAGAAAAGGTAAAATCTTGCAGACTCCTGCAATTTGGATGGATGGAGGGCATCCTGACAAGCAAAAGAATTCAGAGAAAGGACAAATATTGTAGGATCTCAGTGCTATATAAACAAAAGAAAGTAATTAAAAACTCCTGAATGAAAAGATGTCTTTACTTTTGATTACAAAAGAAAACCTCAGTCAAGGAAGAAGCAGACTGAAAGTGATCTGAGGACAATGGTGGGGAAAGGCACCCAGGTCGAGAGTTACTGATGACAACATGTATGACCTTAGTTGTGTGATGCACATATAACATGCAGAAAACCACATCCCATGACCGCTACACAGGGGCCTAAGTTTTCAAACACACCAACACTGGACCTTCACAACTCAGGTTGAAGAACACCCCTCATTCTGTGCCCTGGGAAAGAATCCATAAGAGTTTCCATGACTCGCTACTCCCAGGAGAGATTGGACACACTCAATAAGCTTCTGCCTTGTCTGCCCAGTTCACCATCATCCTTCCCTCTGGAATTTCTCAAGATTCTTTCCAATTGCTCTTTGCTCTCCCCTTTCTACAGCATATATTTCTCATCCTAACAAATTCTTCGTGGGATGAAGGAAACTGAATTAGTGTAGCCATGATACCAGAACCACCACCACCACCACAGGTTCCTCATATTTGATGGATCATCAAGCTCAGCTTGATCTGCTGGGCCCAAAATTTCACTAGCTGCTTCCTGAAGTAAACAATCTGAAATCCCTGTCTCTGTCATCTGGCCATACTACTGCTTTCTTGGAACTGGTAATCACCATACTTAAACTCAAACAGATCTGGGATTGCAGCATTACACCCATGTACTTGTGAGCTGACAATGGCTGGACACCTCTCCCTGGTCTCTATAAATGAAGTGTCTGTGTCCAAAAATACTACAGATGATGAACACACATTTAAGAGGTTTTTAAGGCATTACAATATACAAAAACATAGTTTCACTGTCAGTTTTGTAAGCTCAACTGAACCTTACACACCTCTGTCGATATTTGCTTAATTCTTGCATCTCCTGCCAACCAGGCTACCAATTGCACAACAATTGGATGTCAGATTATGATTGTTTCAATATTTTAAGTCACGAAAACTGTTTCATTTATTGATGAGGGAATAGTGATGGAACCTAATTATTGGTTTCTAAAACGCTTTGGGAAACAAAGGTGAAGCTTTTCTATGTATGTATTTTCTATGTATGTCAGAGCTTCCCATTTTCCCCATTTAGGAGTAACCTGACTTTTTTCATGTTCAAGGGCTAAAGTTTTCAATAAGGAAAAACTTTGTGTTTGCTTTTGCATCCTACACAAAAGGTCCACATGTAGGGCTTTGTTTGCTCTTGCTGTTTTATTACTGTTGTATTTTGGGATTCTTTTGTTTTGGTTTGAAGCCACACTGGCTGTGCTGAGGAATTCCTTTGCACTCAGGAATTACTCTGGCGGTACTCAGGGTACCATCTGGGATGAAGAGGATGGAAGCCAGGTTGGCCATATGCAAGGTAATGGCCCTCCCCTGCTGCACATTCGCTCCGACCCCAAGTAGCAGTCTGAATGGTCCCAGGAGTCCTTTACCACCCTAGCTCTCAGCGTCCAGATCCGGAACCGATCTGGCGCAGGTGTGCGGCGCTGCCACAGCCTGGGGGATACGCGCCCCCGAGACAGCTGGACAGTGCCACATACCCCTCTGTTGAGCCTGACATAGGCGTGGGTGCGACTATCCCAAAGAGGAATCATTACTCCCATAGCTTGTAGGACGTTGGCAGTTGCAGACCCCGCGAGAGATGCAGGTGCGCGTGCGTGTCCGTTACCTCTAACTGCTTAGAACTGAGCCAGGACAGCCCCAATGCGCGCGCACCTACAGGCTGCAGTGGTGCAAATGTCGGCCAGTCATGCACGAGATTGGTGGCTTTTCAGGCATAACAAGGATTCAGTTAGGGACTGCAGAAGTTCATGCTGTGGGGATGGAGTCTCCTGAACAAGAGAGAAGCCGTTTGACCAATATAAAGAAATCACTACACATGCCAGCTGGTAGAACGTACATGTACTTTTAACCAGAGTGGAAATCAGTTATGAGTTCATAAAAAGGAGATCCTTAGGGTTTTCAGTTCATAGTACATGTCTAGAAATATGTTAACAACAGAAAACCAGTTTGGTGTGGGAGAGAACATTGTACTTACAAGGCGAAGTTGAAGGGAACACCCAGCCATGCATTAAAAACACATCATTGAGCCTCTGGCAAAACTTAGCTTTGAACCACTAAAGATATTCCTCGACTCAACATTATATTTAGGAGGCAAATCATCCATAAAATGTATTGCAAATGCAAAGAAGTAAGTTTGAGCTTCGTAGCTGTTTTAACATGAAACTTCATGGCTATTCCAGGAGGGATAAGAGATTCCAGTAGAAAGAAACATTGAAAAAGCTAGTCAAACATGTTAGACAATTCTACATTACTTTCATTCCTAGGGATTGGACCCTAATGAAGGATTAGCAAAACAAACAAACAAAAAAGCAAAACCCACTGTGTTTGCTTGGGAAAACTCCTTTTAGTTTTTGACCTCCATGGGTTCACAAGTCACAAATGACTGAATATTGCAAACACAGAGTAGACCCTGTTGAAGGAGGTCAACAGGAAGAGAGGAAGGAGAGAGATTTGAGGGGCACACAACTAGACTGGTGGATAAAGTATTGAGATACAGCGAAGACCAAGCCAACCTGTGTGCTGAGAATCGGGAAACTTTGTCTTAGTGGCTGGAAGAGGCCATGTGAGCTGCTCTGCCATTGAGCAGTTTGAAGGAAAGTTATGGTTCTGGCCGTCCAATCAGAGCCCTTCATGGAATGTTTCCCCAGCCAGGCCCTCCTGGCCCTCTCCTCCCCCACTGCAGAATGTCTTGGGCCCAAGATTCTGAGGTTTGAATTCAAACTTCACCCTCACCCACTGGGATCCTGAGCGTCTGCGTGAGCAGTTCACTCTCTGATCCTGGTCCTGAGTTTTGCCGTTGTGAAGGCTGATAAACTGCAGTGGCCTCTGGCCACGTCTATGGCTATGGCGTCAGGAGGAGGTAAGCCTGTGAGGGTGTCTGTGTATGTGAGAAAGTCTCTGTCACCCTGAAATCCATTGGGTTCATAGTCACCCTGACTGGGAACACCATATTTTGAGTGGGTGAAAGAGGAGAAAGACCTGGGCTCCATAGATATCTCACCTGTACAGCAAAGGGAGCCCAGGAGAACCTGAGGGGTCTGGGAGGGCATCGTTGGAGGTGTGTCAAATTACCTGGGGGTAGGTCATTGGTATGGACAGAGGGAGGCAGCAGGCATATGGCTGCTTTATATTTGAGTGTCCTGCTGGTGGATGGGGGAACAGGGCCATTTGTCATGTGTCTGGAGGGACTGTTTTGTGGTGGCACAGGAATGCTGAGTCCATGTCTCCTCCTGTGCTCTAGAATAAGTTTAGAAGTAATTAGACTTGGGCTGAGTTCAACCTGATTTGGACAGCTCAGCACAGATGGTCCAGCCTGAGCCTTGTTGAGTGAGGCTGTCTGTGTGTACTTCTGCCATGATGCGTCCTCCCCAGAGCTGGGCTGCAAGTGACTAACTGCCACAGTCAGAGCCTGACACTTCTGCAGACTTAAACTCTCTGCTGGCTTAGCCCAGCAGCTGCCTTGGGTCAGCAGGTTGGGAGACAGCGTAGTTATGACTCAGATTCCTGAGTTATTCTGGATTGTTCTCATTTTGGTGAAGTTTGTTCTTCCATGATCTGGCATCTCATGGTGCAGCCCCAGCAAGCATTTCAGCTCTGAGGTGAAGATTGATTGAGAATTGCATACATCCCTCACAGACAAGGGATAAATGGATGTGTGAGTCTATGTGTGAGTTTGTGAGAATGAGTGTGTGTTTCTGTGTGTGTGTGTGTGTGTGTGTGTGTGTGTGATATGTGGGGTTTTCCTGAGAAAAGTCTGTGAAGGTCTGTTCCTTGAGGAGAGGTGGAGTGTACTGAGGCAGAAAGAGCATCGTCAGAGCAGTTGGAGACATCAGGGACTCTGTCCTGAGCATGATGCGCACAGGCTCTGGGTCGTCTCTAGTGCGAGTCTCTGTGTGAATTCCACCTGAGTAACGATGGTGGCAGACAATTTTCTTTCCTGGCACCTGGTTTATGCCTGATGTTAATTATCCTGTATCTGTCTCTGGGATAAAGTCTTAGATTATTTAGAAGATGTTACCAATTTTCAATCTAACATGATCAGCAGCTCCAGAACTCTGGAAACATCCCCAAGTGTCTGACTGGTGAAATCTCTGGCCATTTCCACACCTGCTGCCAACCCTGATGGAACTCTCCCAGAACACAAGAACCCTAGCCTTAGGATCTCCACGAAATATAACCCAGCTGGAGGGGAGGGATGGCCTGTGCCAGGGACACAGGGCTGAGACAGGGCACACCACCTCATTCCTTTCAAAGGGCCTGATCTAGAGATGGTTGGGCCAGTGAGGCCTTGCTTCCCCCCACACCGTCTCCCTCTCACTCCCCTCCCTCCTCTCCACAGTGTCTCCTGTGCTGCTCCCAGAGATGACCATGAACCTTGGGGTCTCCGGCTCTGCTTTCCGGGTCTTGCCCTTTCTCAATCCAGGGCTCCCCCAGCCACCACCCTGGGAGCCCATCCAGATGCCCCCTCTGGTGACCTCGGCCATTGCTCCTGGCAACCCTCTGGTACTGTCACCTTTCCCCATGATGCCTGTGGTGGCAGGAGCTGCCAGCCATGGTCCCCGCGTTCCTGAACCTTGCAAGGTCATCATCCAGGTCAGCCCTGAGGTGGGGCTTGTGGAATCAGCCCAGAACCAGCCTGTCATCCTGACACAGGCTTCACTCAACTGGGGGGGCCCAGAAGTTCCATCTGCCGTGAATGGGCATCCTGCCCCCGTCTACTTGGTGTCATCTGTGCCGGAGACCGTTATGCCTACCCCAGCTACTACTGTCACCCAGGCTGGGACAGGAGACCATCCTCCTCAGGCTCCACTGCCAGTGGCCCAGGTGGTTCCCATCATCCTCCCATCCAGTGGTGGACCACTGCCCCACTGGGTTTGTGGTGAGAGTGGTCCCGCCAACACCCGGAACCAGGCATCACCTGAAACCTCCAGCAGGCCGAGTAGCGTCTACGAGAACTTTCGGCGCTGGCAGAACTTCAAGGCCCTGACCCGGAGGTACCTTCCTCAGACTCCGGACACTGAGGCCGTTTCCTGCTTCCTCATGTAAGCCCCTCAGGTGTCCTAGACCTAATGGGAGCTTCACAGGAAGGGACTGGGGTGACCCCCAGGGTAGGGTCCATGACAGCATGACCTCAGGAATGCCACCCCGGGGTTTCGGCTCAAATCCCATAGTGACCAGTCATGCCCTAAAGCTTCAACTCAGTCTGCTCATCAGGGTTGGACCTGACCTGTGGTCTGTAGGACAGACATTCTGTTCCTAATACCAGACACAGCACAGATGCACCAGGGTTCAGACAGGCCATGACTGCTCGGCCTTGGTATCTCATGACGTATCCCCAGAGCTGAGGGATCACACCAGCATGGCCACTGAGTGGGAGGCAGAGTCAACTCTGCGCGGGGAGACCAGGCCACCATCGGGGGTCTAGGCATGGGTGTAGGGCAGCGGGGGCTCCCGGCAGATACAGACCCTGACCGAGCCTCTCCTTGCAGCCCGGTTCTGCGCACCCTGGCCCGCCTGAAGCCCACCATGAGCCTGGAGGAAGGCCTGCGCCGGGCCCTGCGGGAATGGGAGGGCACGAGCTATTTTGACCGCATGATCTACTACGACATGGCTGCCAAGTAAGTCAGTCCTGGGCAGAGAGTGGGGGTTGGGGCTGGCTGCGGGACTGGCCTTCAGGGGCTGCTCCCAGATGGCCAAGGCGTCCTTGGCATCCCCGGGAGGCCCTTTCCCTGTGGAACCTTGTCCCTCCTGGGGCCGGGACACTTCTCCCCACCCCACTCTGGGGCTCCTGACCACAGTCTGAGGGTCACAGTCCCTTATTTTCTGTGACCCTCAAAACGCTCCTTTGGGGAATAAATGGGGGCGCTGGGGTCTGTGCCCACCCATTCTCCACCCTCCTGAGCTCTTGGCCGTGAGTGTTCCCTGTCCCTGCCTCATCCAGTGTGGTCCAGACCAGCCCAACTCAATGGGGTCTGTGCTCCCCATACCAGGTTCATGGAGTTTGAGGCTGAGGAAGAGATGGAAGCGCAGAAGCTGCAGTGGATGAATGGAGTACAGGGCCTGCCAACCACTGCCCCACCCAGGCCTGAGCCTCAGGGGGCTCCAGGCCCACCGCTAGGCCAGCAGCCAGGTACCGACCCTGTTCCCCAGCTAATTTTCATAGGTCCAGGAAGGTGCTAGGGTTCCTGCCCTGCCAGGGAGCCTTCACTCTCCCGGGGACACCCAGGCCTATGCTCAGCGGCCCTCTGTTCCTGGGTTTCTCCCTCTCCCTGAACACAGCACACTGCCTGAGGGCTTCAGACTCACCTTTGAAGTGGGTTTGGAGACCCTGGCGACACGGTTGACCCCTCCTCCCTTTGAGGGTCCCCTCATCCCTCACGCCGTTATGGGATTCTATTACACACAGATGTGGACACACACTTGACCTAACACTTCCCACAGGTATCCGTCCCCATTTCTGTGCTCAGTGCTGTGTGTCTAAGGGCAATGGACGCGGGGTCCCCTCACGTCCCACTCCCCTTCTTCCTCCTCAGCCTGTGTCCCTAAGAAATCCAGACCCCGGGCTCGGGCAGCCTGCCCCAAGATGCACAAATCACAGCGGGCCCCCAAAACCAAGGCCCCCAAGGAGATCCCCCCTGAGACCATGCAGGAGAACATGGATATCATGGACGAGCAGCTAAAGGCCCCCGATACAGTCTGCGGGGCGCCCCTTGGCCGAAGGGCAGCGGGCATGAAGGAGCAGCAGGAGGAGGCCGGGACCTGCCCTGACCCGGGGCTCCTGAGCTATGTGTACGAGCTGTGCTCCCAGGAGGCCTTTGTCACCAAGGTGGGTTTTGGGCGGTGCTGTAGGGTTTGGAGGGCGCAGGGTTGCTTCTGTCCAGGGCTTGGTAGTGACATATTTCTACTTGTGTTTGTGTGTATGTGTGCACATGTGTTTCCCTGTGTACAAACAACATTGGGCCTAGTTTGTGAATTTCTGGGTTTGGTGGATGTGTGAACATCTGTGTGTTTCCATCTGTGTACTGTGTGGGCTCTGCGCAGAAACGTGTGGATACATGTACATGTGCCTAGAGGTTGAAGAGTGTGTGTCTTTGTGTCATGTGTGTACATGACAGAGACTATGTGCAACCGTCCAAGACCCTGCACTGTGCTGAGAACGGGTGTGTTTGTATCTTAATTCCTTCCTAGTCCGTATGAGAACCCTCACGCCCGCTTCCCCCTCCCAGGTCGAGGCAGTCATTCATCCCAGCTTCCTGGCGCACCTGCTCTCCCCAGAATCCCAGCTGGATCTCCTGGACCTGGCTGAGGAGCTCGAGGAGGAGGAAGGACTCACCCCCACACAGGTGAGGCACATAGGTCTCTGGGATCCATGCAGGACCCAGGGGAATAATGTGAGGGTTTCCTGTAAGGCAATGGGTAGCTGCCCACGGCAAACAGGGGGCATTTTGCATGTGATTGCTGGAAAAGAGTCCCTGCAGGGGACTCAGGGGACAGGTCCCAGGGCACTCAGAGCAGCAGGTGGGTCATGAGTCAGGGAGGGGCGCCTAGCACTGGGGCCTAGTCACTTGGTGCCCTCCCTGCCCAGGCCATGGCCAGAGGCCACCCTTTGAGTCCTCAGGGAAGATGAGGACGTGAATATGGGGTGAGGGAAAGGTTGGTGGGGGTGAGGGCCCTTAGTGGGACAGAGATCTGGGTTTTCTACTCTGGGAGGAGTCGCGGTCACTCTCTGTCCCTCCCTGCACCCCCACATGCCCACACTCTCATTCCTCCCTTCAGATTGTGGAAAAGCGTCTACAGACTGCGCTGGACAAGGAGGTCCAGAAGGCTTGTCCCCAACACCAGCTGACTCCAAAGGACTCAAGTCCATCTGAGAGTGCCGCAGGTCACTGCAACCCAACTCCTACCTGGGGCCATAAGCCAGGGGCCAGCGCTGAATCCTGTCCCCCTGAGACTGACTTTGGACACGCCTCAAGGCCTGTGCAGGCTGAGGCCACTGGGATGGCACCTCGAGCCTCTGTCCTCTCTTTGGGGAGCCTGGAATCCCCATCCCTTCAGGCAGAACAGGCCCCCTGTCCCCGCCTCGCTGCCCCTACTCTGGACAGCAGGGTCTCCCTCATTCTGGGAGAGGACCCTCCTGGCCAGGGGCCACATGGGGCTGCAGAGGGCTCCAGTGAGGAGGAGGCGGAGCTGCCCTGCGTGGCCTTCCTCCAGGCCTCTCAACACAGCCTCCTGCCCTGGGGCTTCCCCATGAGCCCTGGCTCAGACACTGGACCCCGCTGCCCGAGGGCCTGGGGGGTTTCTCAGACCCAACCCACTCAAAGAAGAGCCTGCAATCCTGCTGCCCCTGCTACTGCCCCTTCCAGGAAGCGTCCTCTGTGTGGGAGCGCAGGACTGGGCACTAGTGAGAAGAACCCCTTCCCTGGGGAGCACCCCAGGCTGTCTGGGGACTCAGCCTTGACTGTAGAGCTGGTGGGCCCTTCCCTGCCCCCAAAGAGAAGGTTCCAGCCTGCTGTAGCCCAGAGGAGTACAGTACAGGATGGGTACAGCATCCAGTAGGTCACCGGGGGGCTCCCTCCGGAGCCTGGCTGCCCCTAGCAGCCTTGTCTTCCACCTGATCTTCATCCAGCTAGGACTTCTCTGTATAATTTGGCGGGCCCAGTGGTGGGGTTGTGCTGGAGCAACCCCTTTGTGTCATTGTGTAAATAGTTAATAAATTTCATTTCATTGAAAACACTCTTGGTATCTCCTGTCGCTCATGCTCCTTGGACAATCCTGAGATGAAAACAGGTAAGGGCGTTACAGGGTTTGGGTCCTGTGAGACATTGTGCTCCCTGGAGCAGGGAGGAGTCCTCCCTACCCATTGGGAGATGTGCTCAGTTTCACCAGACCCACCCAATTCTGTGGACATAGCCGTGGCTCACGTTTGCTGCCTTTTCCTTGGAGTGCATCAAAAAGCACATCAAAGATTGAGGGCAACACGCTGGGAAAAATCACAGCATGGGAGAGAGCAACACAAAGGAGCTCTCACAGATGTGGGAGACAGACTCTTTCTATTTCTTCTCTGAGTTCGTGGGTCACACCCAACAGTGACTGCACTACAGAGCTCCTTGCTCTAGGACTCACTCCTGGTATAGCTCAGGGGACAACGTGGTGCTAGACATCAGTAGAACGAGGGCTGTGCACATGCAACACAAGCACCTTAATGTGTATACAATTTTCCCAATTCTCAACATTCAATTTGATTTGTTTTAGTGTCACACAAAATGGTTCCTGGAGCTTACTCTGGCTCTGCCCAGGAAGTACTCCTTTCTGGGCTCAGGGGACCATATGGAGTGCCAGGAATCAAATCCAGGTTGGCCATGTTCAAAGCAACTGCCCCATCATCTGTACTCCTTCTTCAGCTCCAAAATACCTTTTAAAACAATTTCACCACACTTTAAAATAGAGCTCGTGTCCTCAGAAGGTGTCCATAACCTCCTCCACTCAGCCATCACCCTTTCTCTCCCCATTGATCCTTGAGTCTTGAACCCCATATTCCTTTCTTCCTCTAGATTCCCAGAACCTGGCCATCTAGCGTTCTGTGGCCTCTTTCACTGAGAACAGCTTTTCCTGGACCACCTACATCAGCTCATGTCCACAGTTCAAACGTTAACTACAGAATCATATTCCATGTGCAGAAGGGCTACATCTGGCAATTCCTTCAATGGTTGATGAACAATGAGCTTCTTTCTACTCCCTTGTACTAGCTAACAGCAGATACGCAGATTTTAAGTGAGGTTCTCAAAGAATTTTATTGAGAACGCAAGCCTGGAAAAAACCCTCTCACTGCTGGCAGAGAACCCCAAATTTGGGATTGTGGAGTAGAGATTTGATGCACTGTGTAATGCAACCCAAGCACGAAGGTTCTGATAACTGTATTAGGGATGCAACGATTTGTGTTATCCAGAGAACATGTGTCCTCTCTTGGTGTTTTCTTTACACTAAGACAAACAGCAAGGTCCTTAACCTTTCCTTGTCTGTCCTGTCTCGACTTCTGGAACTGAGCATGGTGTCCTGAACCTGCAGTTTTCTTTATCCCTGATAGTTCAGGATCTATATAGCCTTTGGTGCTCTGTTACTTTCTGCCTATTTGGAGAGAGTTCAAAATCACAGGTAGTTCCTGTCAGGAATGGGGTGGTTTTTTTGGTACGCAAAATAATTTTTTAAATTTTATTTGGTACGCAAAATAATTTTTTAAATTTTATTTTCATAAAGCGTTGGGAGTTTAAGCAACAATGACCTGTCTGGAGAAAGCTCTGCTCTCCACTGCGGAGCACTGAGGAAGCCCTCCAGTCACAGTCAGGGAGCTGAGGGGTCCCTAGGCTCTTCCTCCTCCATGGAGCAGACCCTAGAGGGGCAGCTGGGCTGTGGAGCTGGGTTGGATGGAGGAGACTCTGAGGTGGGGGTGCTGATAAAGTACCTGAAAAGTTGGATCAAGCATCTGGAAAGCCCTGGGGACCTGGCTTTTACCTGTTAGAGCAGGAATGGCAGCTTGCTGAGACCAGCTCTTCATTCCTCTGAAGTGGGAGGGGAGTGAGGGTGGAAAAGGGTCTATCTGGGGCTTGGGAGGTATTAACACAGTTTGCTCCCAAGAAAATGCATATCTCAAAATCCCTGGAGAGGGGACCATGTTTTATGTGACCAGGATAAAGATTGAGGGGTGCATTTTCATGGGATAGGTGGAAAACAAAGGTCTCATTATCAGGCCTTGAGGATCCTGGAGCCCCGGAAGAGTCTTGCTGTTTGTGTCAAGTTCTTGGGATTGGGTTGTGTCAGACTAAAGCCATCCCAGAGCACATGCAGGTACACCTGTGGCCGTGCCTGGAAAACACTTGCAGGTGTTCCTTGAATTGTTGTTGCTTCGACAGGCTTTGGTGCCCAGTTTTCCCAGGGCCTGTGCTCTCTGTATGTGTTGTATCCAAAAGGGGCCACCTCGGATAGGCTCTGGAAATGGCAGCAGCCTCTGCAGTGGCCAAAGGGCCATGTTCCAAACCCCACAGTTGGAACAGCTCTGGTGAGGGTCCAAACTGCACATCCAGTTGTGGGCTAGGTAAGGGCTCATGCACTGGATCATGGAAGGGAAAACAAAACCCGCACCAGAGCTAGGTGAGAAGAGTTTCTGCAAACCTGTGTAGGCAGGTTCAAGCTGTGCAGGAGCTAGGGACTTACATGAGTAGATGGTCCACAACTCTGGGCCAGAGGGGTCAGGACAGGGATAGCACAGGGGCAGGTCCAAAGTCAAGGAGGGCTCATGAGAGAGCTGTGTCCAATGGGGAGGATGGGATTAGAGAGGTCATATTTTAGGGGTCAGAGGTCACAGGGATGCAGCCAGGGCTGAAGCCACTCTGGCCATGGGCATGGAGACTCGAAGCCCCTTCAGGAAGTCCCAGCCCGGCAGCCCTCGGCTCAGCAGGTGCTTGGGGCACCCGGGGCTCAGGTGAGCAGATGGGCTGTGGGCGGGGAACAGCTGGTTTGGACTGGCCCATCAGTCTCCTCTTTTTTCCTCTCTGTGTTCCCCAGTCTTCGAGCGGGCAGCCGGCCACGGCGTCCACACAGTTGAGGCACCCGGCCCACCCTGTCCAGGTCACATGGCCCACTGCCTCCCGGAGACAGTGGGAAGGTGGAGGCAGGACACTAGTACAGCCCCGCACACAAAGCTAGTGTCTGGGCCGGGGGTGGGGGTGGGGGCTGCTGAGGGCATGGGGTCTCCGGGATGCAGCTGTGACCACCTGTGGCCACCACATCCCTTCCGCGGCTTCCCACGGGGCTTGCTCACTGTGCGCTCTGCTGTCCACATTCCTGTTGCCCAGGCAGCAGACAGGGATATCAGACACCAAGCTGCCCTGTCACTCTGGGACTGGTTGACCCCTGCTTCTGCTTTCCCACTGAGAAGTGGTCAAGGGTCTACCTGAGAAGAAACAGGGACCTCCTGTTTACCACATGGCATTGGGATGGTCATCACAGTGTGCGGGAAGCCCGAGGGGTATGGATGATCTCTGGTGGCCACGAGGCCATGGAAGGCCAGTGGCCATGGCAGGCCAGCCTGCAGTACCAGAGCATTCATCCCTGTGGAGCTGTGCTCATTCATTCCCACTGGGTGTTCTCTACTGCCCACTGCTTAACAAAGTGAGTTGTTTCTCAGGTCCTAGCAGCCAGGCTGGCAGTGGGAGAGGGTTAAAATATTAGAGCCCCTGCATCTTCAAGGCTGTGTACTGGGACAATCTGTGTCCTTCTAGTCCAAGTCTTTCTGCCTGTGACCTGTCCTCTCCTGTATTGTCCTCTCTCGTCACCTGATTTTGCTCATCTTCTATCCTCATCCCTGTGCCTTTCCCCTACACAGGTCTGCCCCCTAGATGGCAGTGTTCATCCTGCCTCCCAGGAGCAATGTCAGATGGCTCTGTGTCACCTCACACCACGGCTTCTCTCAATGTCCCTGCAATCCTGGTTGTCAGAGGGAGGCTGGAACCTGGGATGCAGTGGCAGATGCTGTTGTTCTGAACGTCTCTGGCCTGGGGTCTCTGCTCACCACATGTCTATTGGTCAGCTGCATGGACACTAGATATGGAGTCCTTGACCTTGAAGAAGAACAGAGCTGCTCTCTCTCCTGGGTCTGGTTGGGTGTTCCCAGTGCTTTGGGGGGGCAGTAACCAGGATCTGGATCTTTGGTGGTACGTACAGAGGCCCACAAGCACCTGCTCTGTGCTGTTTACCACTGGAGACCCACTGTGGATAAGGTTGGCTTGACCCACCTCACTGTGTCTCCATTTAGTCAGAGAAGAAGTTCC